TGAAGACCATTGAAGATCCAGAGATTGAAGATCAACTGTCAGAGTTGGGGAGGGTGTTCTTGCTAGCAGATGCTGAGGAGACTAGGGTTTAGGAGCTAGGCAGAGCTTTAGATTAGAAAGCTTGTTTCTCAAACATGGAATGCCTTGTCTGCATCCATCCTTTCTCTATGATTCAAAGTCTCTTTCAAATATCCACCTCCTTCCTTTGGAAGGATCAGTGAATATATTTGAAAGATAGAACTTTTGAGAGGAGACTTTCTGTTTAATGTTAACAGTTGATGAACCACCCTTGGTAGGTAATTAATTGTCTAACATTCATTCACTTCACTCTTGTGACTGATCCCTCATCCTAGAGGTTTGAGCATGAAGAAAAGCCATTTCTTGTAGAAGATAGATGATCAAAGCCCTTGCCTGAAGGTCATGAAGATGGAGATTAATACTTGTTGAAGCCTGTAGCTGAATGGAGATTACTTGAAGCCAGATGTTGATTCAGGGCTGCTGATGATGTTTGTTTTATTGCTGTATTTCATTTGCTGATGTATTGATTGGTTTTCCGGACTGTATTGTTTGCTGTTTACCCTGTTGGGTTGAAAGTGAAGCCTGTTCACTTTCGCCTATTGTTTTCTAGGTTCGAGGTTGAGTGGGACTCCCTTGCCTCGCTTGTACTGTTGCATCCATGCATTTTACTGTTTTACTATATATATCTGTTATTGTTTCTGTTTCTGCCTATCCCGTAGGATCTCTGTTTCTCTCTGTGCAAGAGAGGAGCATGATAGACACTAGGTCTTAACCCATGCATGATAACATTAGGATAGTTTGATTCCCTTCGCAACCGTAGGTTAGAGTTCTGTCTCTTCTTTCTCAAAACAAACAGAAAAACACCATAAAGATTTCAAACACAATAAAAGACACTTCTTTCGTAAAAGAATGTGAACTCATCAAAACGTCATTTTTGTCCGCCGGGACTGCTAATCAAGAAACCTTTTTCAGAAGGAATAAAATCAACCAAGACAGACTTGTGTCGTACGTGGCCCGAACTACGTTTGCTCTGATCTTTCGTGCCGTGTGAAAGTACGTAGGCATAGGATGCGATATCCTAGCGAGCAACCTTCCCCTCCTCTCCCGTAGGTAGGCGAACTACGTTGACTCTGATTTCTCGTTCCAGACGGGAATACGTAGGCATAAAGTGCGATACTTTGCCGAGTCATTTTTATTTTCATTTTCTTTTCTTTTAACCCTTGACCTATAGTTTAGATAGAATAACAATCCATACCCGAAAACAAGCGTGGATCCCGTCGAGTACGACGGACGTGAGGGGTGCTAATACCTTCCCCTTGCGTAACCGACTCCCGAATCCAGGTTTTGGTTGCGATGACCATACCTTTCCCGTGTTGTGCGAGGTTTACTCTGAGCGTTTCCTTTCCCTCCCGTGGGATAAATAACGCGCGGTGGCGACTCTTCTGTTCAGCCGGCGCCGATTTTCGCAGTAGCGACAGGTATAATCAATGCACATTCGCTATTTTCAATTATTCTTTTTCACGAGTACAACATTGGACAACCAAGTGGTGTACTTGGCTTCCGATATAAAGTTTGCCTCTAGGAGGTCTTTTAGAGCCTGTTCGAAAGCCTCTGTTTTCTTCGGAGACTGTCATCGTCTATGCTAAGCTACAACCCTAATGACGAGATCAATTGTGAGGTGGTGACATGACACATCAGGGTCTAGCCTGTGCATCTCCGCAGCGCTCCACGCAAACAAATTTGCATTCTCCCGGAGGCAGGCTCTTAGTTGTTTCCTCATAAGTTCGGAGAGACTGATCCCAATCTTCACTCCCTGCTGGGGGTCGTCGCCGAGTAATACGAGTTCAAACTATCCATCCGAAATTGGGGGCATCGAATGGACAGCTTCGCCGCTACTGGAGAGGATGCTCAAAGATGGCTGGATCTCTTTCGCCATTGCCTTCTGAATCTTCTGGTCATCTTTGGAGAAACAGATGTCAAGGTCGATGGAGTCGACTCGGGGCAGCGGTTGGGCAGAGACGTCTGGTTGGGAGTCTTCGGCTTGGCGGTGATGGTGTTTAGCCCTTTGGAGGCTGCTTCAAAGGATCTTCTCGCAGCTTCAATGACCTTGTGTAGAGTCGCCACAAGGCCCTTAGAAATATAATATTTCATCTTCAAGTGCACTGTTGAAGGCACGACTACCAATTCGGTCAGAGTTGGTTGCCCGAAGATGCAATGGTATAGCGACGGGAAATCGATGACCAGGAATTAGACCTTGATTGACCTGGCCGTTTCGACGGACCCGAAAGTTACAATCATCTCTATGTAACCCCAGGGCTTCGTCACCGATCCATTGAAACCCTGCTGATCGGAGCCCACATAAGGTGTCAGATGTGATTCATCTAGCTGGAGGGTGGAGAACAACTAGGAATACTTAATATCAACTGAATTGCCTTGGTCGACGAGGATTCATCGGACATTAAAATTTGCCATATGGGCCCTCACGAGCAGAGGGATGTTGGCATTGGGGGCTCCACTGAGGAGCTCCTCACAGTAGAAACATATGAGAACAGACTCTCCCCGGATCCTATCGAAGGTGGAGTTCCGGTTTGAGCTGTTGCTGATAAGGTTCTCGAATTTTCTTTTGACGGACCCTACCGTAACTTTGTTGAAGCCCCCTCCGGAGATGACCATGGTGGAGGGGAAAGTCTCCCACGGGTTGTGCACGGAAAAATATGGAGGGGCATTGAGCCCCTCGAGGATGTAGACGTCCTCAGGCCGTGAGATGCTCATAGCTCGGAGGAAGGCACCTCTTCCTCGACCTTCTTGGATTCCTGGGCGTCTTGTCGAGGAGCATCCTTCAGTTTGGCAAACTGCTTCAAGTGTCCGTCCCTGATGAGTATCTCTATGACATCCTTCATATGGATGCAGTAGTCGGTCATAAGCCTGTGGCTCTTGTGGAACTGGAAATATTTCGATTTGTCAGTGTTTGGTTTGGATGGTATTTGCTTAGGGGACCAGACTCCCACTTGCCGCAATTCTGAGATGGCACATTCAGAAAGGATCTTTTCCCTTTAAACTGTCAGGGGAGTATACTCGTGGAACCGACCGGAAGGCTCTTTGTTGTCCCGGGGCTCTTGGGCACGATCTTCTTATCTTTTATCTCCTCGACGGGATGTCCAGGGCTCGTCAGACTTGGAGGATCGGAAACTCTCCCGGTGTCTCGAATCTTGGGCAGAACTGACAGCCTCCTTTTCTTTATACTGAATATATGCTTGTGCTTTGAGGAGGAAGGCGTCCAGTGTTATTGGGGGCTGGATGCCCACAACTTTAGGAAATTTAGTGCGGGGATGGAGCCCGCGCTCGAGTATAAATTTTTTCATGTCATCGATCGTAGAGACCTGAACAACTTCCTTATTGAATCTTTCGATGTAGGCTCACAGGGGTTCATCCCCCCCTTTGTATGATGGCCTAAAGGGAGACTTCAGTCTTCGGATGTCGGTGAGAGGCCGTGAAGTGTCTGGAGAACATTCTTCCCAGTTGCCTCCATGAGGTGATGGAATCATTGGGGAGTCTTTTGTACCAGGTCATTTCCCCCTTCCTGAGTGTGGTCGGGAATAACCTACATTTGATAGCGCCCCGAACGCCACGGTAATCGAGTAGCGCGTTGATATTTTTGATGTACTTGTCGGGGTCCGTTGTACCATCGTATGTTCCTAGAGAAAGGGGTTTCTCTAGCCCCTTCGATAGACGCATAACCATAATCTCCTGGGACAATGGGCCGCGAGGCTCGTCGTCGATGTTGTTGCTGGACTAGGACGGGGAGTGGGTGCCTCGTTTATAGGTAGGATGACGATCTCGGTAGGGAGGTGGGGTTCGTGATTGGCCCTTAGATCTGGGCGGAGGCGAACGTCAGTACTTTGCTTGGTGGTCTCTTCTAGTCCACCTGGTTCGCGGGGAATGTTGGTTCTGAGGAGAGATGTGGTTGCGCTTTCTGAGAGTCTGGGCCTCTGGCTTCGGAGGTGTCCGATGGTTTCTTTCGCGCTGGGGAGGAGGACTTCGTGGTCTTTGACGTTTTTTCCTCGGCGGAGGGGATCTTGGACGACTAGATTCTTCTAAGGCTTCAATCCCCGCGCTCTGATTAAGGATTAAGAGGTTGATCTTGTTGAGAAACTCGAGAAGGGCAGCCATGACCGGGTCGACGCTGTGCCGAACTGGAACTGGCAGGTGCTCTAGGACAAGTGCGACCTCGTTGTGATCTGTGCGAACGGGGATAGAGAAGCGGTGACTCTGCCCCTTTGTCGGAAGACGTCGCCCCTAAGAGAGGTGGTTGCTTCGTCAGCATCAGTCTTGCTGACGGGGAGAAAAGCAGAGTTGCGAGCGTCATGAGTGTTGTCACGACTGGCCATGATCAAAATTTGGAAGAACTGTTTTGGTCTCGAATCTACAATGGGAGAAAAGACGGGGATAACCAAATTCTCACAGACGGCGCCCTGGATCTTAACGGCATATCAAAACTTAAAGTGGGTCAGAGACAGTCGTCTGTGATGCTGGAGGTGAGAGAGGAAAAACGAGTGTACCTTCAAGACACTCCGATGTTGAAGTAAGAATCGGAAAAGAAAAAAAACTCTTAAATAACATCTTATTAGAGCTTGACATCATTATTGCATAATTTTCCTTATCTTTTAAGGACGTGTAATTGAAGAAAACTCGCAATATTTATTCAATTAATCGTGGTTTTTGAGTGTTTGATGCAACTTTTGAACTAGTTAAACACTTCGTAAAATCATATCATAATATTATTCGTTATATTAAATATTTTTTAAAATTTCACACGAAAACAAATAAATAAACTACTACGTATTTGAAGCAGCTTCCTAGAAAAGTTACTGAGTTCAAATTCAAACCAAAAAAAATTATATATATATATATATATACACACTCCAACTAGGTCAATTGAAATTGCGTGGGAAACAAGGGTTAGTGTTGATCGGAATTGAAAAATGAAGAAGAAAGAGAGAGAAGAAATCGAAAGCTGGATAAAGGGAGACGAAACTGGCGCTGAGATGCTGAAACGGGTATGGAGGGTCCGACCTTTCATTCTCCCTCCGCCGCTTCACAGAGTCCCTCTCCGCGTCGGTAACGTCCTCGAACTCGTCGGTCCCTCTCCTTCCGCCAAAACTCAAATTCTCATTCAAACTGCAATCACTTGCATTCTTCCAAAACACTGGAATGGCATACACTATGGTGGATTTGATCATTTGGTACTCTTTATTGATCTTGATTCTCGATTTGATATCAATCGTTTCGCTCAACTGCTTCTTCATCGAATTATGGAACCTTACGGTAACAGTTTTTTTTTATTTTTTATTTTTTATTTTGTTCTGGCTTGAGTTTATTACTGTGTTTGGTTATGGTTATCTATCTCGCTTTTTCTGTGATGGAATAGGGGAAGCTAGTGGAGATTATGATAAATCGTTATTTGATTTGTGCATGACTCGGTTTTTGTATGTTCGTTGTTCCGACAGTTTTCAATTTCTTCAGACTCTCAAGGTAAGAGGAGGAGGTTGCTTGTGCCTCCAATCTATTGTATTTATGCACTTAATTAAGTTGTTTATCCGAACACGGAAAATCCAAGTGTCTAACTATAGATTGTTTGAAGTTAATATTTTCCCTAGAAGGAGCATAATGCAAACCAGCTAATCTAGCAATTTTAAACTCCTATTAATGTATCTTGTTCCTTTTGTTCTACAATAGACATTAAATTGGCGCTTGGATAAGGAGAAACAAGTTCACGGGGTTAGTGTTCATTTGCTCATGATTGACAGGTTGGTTTTTTCTTCCTTTTTATTGAATGTGACATTTTATTTACATAATGCTACGGTGGAATGTTTAGAAATCTTGAGTAGTTGAGAATTATCAAAATAAGAGTTTGATATGATACTGTGTAATGAATCTGGTTATGTTTCTAATTTGCAAAAGTTTAGATTTGATTATCTACCAAAATATAAGAAAAGGTTTAAGAGCTGTCATTACGACGTTGTTAGTTATGTTACCTTACTGCGAACGATAAATTCTTATTGCGAATTATACCCATATACAATGTTAATAACAATTAGTTTTAGAGAGCTGAGGATATTGTGTATACTTATGTTGAATGATGCAGTTATTTTGTACTGTAGCTTCCAGAAAACTATTTACATGAAATGCTAAACATAAACAATTGTCTTAATGAGAATTTGTTGATTAATATTCATTTCAATTTTCTATTGAAGATACTGTTTCTTAAATGAGAATTTGTTGATTAATATTCTTTATGAAATGTTTATCCCTTTTCTATTATTATTGAAGATACTAACTTGAAATATGATACTTAAAGAACAATATTGTAAAGCAAAGATAAAATCAATCTTTGATGAATACTGGTCACTATTATAAGCATAAAAATCGACCATAAATCTTGGTTACTATTATAAACAAAAATCATTAAATTCCAACCTAATTAATGCTTGTATTACTAATATAACCTTGATTTAGTTAAAAAACATTTAAGGTTGTTAGTTGATTCATTATAGTAAAATTTCCTTTAATTGTACTTGAAATCAGGAAAGTTAATTACACTTAACTAATTTTCTTAATTAGAGTGAAAGTAGTTATTTTTGCTTATAATTGTGACCGGAGTATATATGAATATGGGGTATGTGTTTAGACTATGTGATGATTTATTAGTCAACAAGATTTTCCAAGTGTCTTTCTTGATCCTCATCCTTCTAGCTCTTTCCATTTTACTTGCTATTATTTTATCCGTGTTAGTTTTTATTTCTGTGTAATGTAACTTCATCTTTGTCCTCTTTCTTGATTTTCTGTTGACGAATAAAAGCAACAAAAAAATGAAATTCTTTTCTCACTAGGTGTGATTATTAGCCTGAAAAATCAAATGACATGAAAACTCTGAATCATTATTAGCAAAAATAAACCCAGATTCATGCTAGAACCATAATGATTCAAAAGAACCCCATCAGAAAGTAGAATAAGTTATACTTTTCTATTCTCCCTAGCCTACAATATGATTTTATCCAACTGTTTATTTGAACACTGTTGCTTAAAATATGATCTGATATAATAACTAATAAGTTTGACTGATCAAACTGTATTTTTTAGCATTGGAGCTTTTCATTGGATGGATCGTGCATCTATGTTATTGCCTCTAAAAGAAAACAGCAGGTAACTGATACTCATGTTGATATTTTCCAGAAGATGGCATGTGTCTTTTCACTATGTTTTAGAATTCTAAAAGGAACAATTTCTCTTCAGAATTCTCAATTGATTGACTTATTTCTCTCGCATTTTATGGAAGAATGAAAACTTAGACTAGAAATATGTAACATTGGTCCATATATATGTTGATTTTAACTTTCAGGTGTTATGTGATGCAGGAAAAAGCTTTTTCTTCAAAGTGTGTCCGAAGCTGTAGTTCAGGATATTAAAAAGCTTCTTCAGGTGCATCCAATGCTTGTTATAGCTACAAAGTCAGTGATTTTTTGGAATAAGCAATCCACAGCTTCAATTGAGGTCAAAGGGTGAGTTCTATAATGGTTATGGAAACTCAAACTTGTTTCTTCCAGACAATGGAGAAACTTGTGAAGCTTTTGAATCCTATCTGTGATATTGTATGAAGAAAGAGATAATATCTTTATTTGGTGCAAGGTTGATTTTGATAAAAAATTCTTCTTCCACCATGCGAAGAGTAGGAAAACTATTTAGGAGAATTGTGACTTGAGGAAGAGTTGTCTTATTTCATGGGTGGTTAATAGGGGATTCATTTTAGTTGATCAATTGCTGTATTTTAGGGGGCTGACCCAGTGACTGTATTTTAGGAGGCTGACCCAGCAGGCACGGGCTTAGAGTAATGTATGCTTCTTTAGTGTCTCCTTTCCTCTATATCTTTCTATCTCTAACATAGTAACACCGCTGTGCTTCTGTGCCCCTATTTTCTTTCTCTCTCGAGTATAGACAATTTAGTGAATCCTGATTGGCCTTTATGGTTTATTAGTGATTGGTTAGGTCTTTTGCATTTGCAATGATTATATTTTTGTTTCGTCATTTGGAAGCACTTTTATTGAGACATTATTTTCTGTTATAGACATTATTTTCTGTTATAGTCTCAATATTAACATACTTCCTGATTTTATGTATGATGATACCCTATTAAAGAAGTTTCATGAAAAATAATTGGGAAGAGAGAAGTTCAAGAAATGTAACAAGAAACAGTCAACATGTTGAGTATCGTGAGTACATGCCTTCTGCCTGGCAGGTAAAGAACTTCCTATAGCTCCTTTTTTTGACCGGGTAGGAAAAGGTGGGCAAAAGCCTGTTTCCAATGCTGTTCTGTTTTGTACTTCTGTAATATGCACACTTTTTTTCCTGTATAAAAAATTCTAATTTGATGTTGGTCCTTTCAACTGTCACAGTCCTTTGTTACACACCGAATACTCATACGTTCTTCAGGTTTGCACTTCTTTGCTACTAATTACAATTGTCAATTGCTGTTAGCTATAGCATGATTCCAACATATTCCCTTTTCAGACGATCATTCTGTTACAAGCAACTGTCAGAACTCCTCATTCTATTTGTTGGAATGGTTATTGCCAAGATTGAGTTTTTCAGACAAGATTGTAGTGAAAGATGTAAGGACATTATATTAATGTGGAGATCTTGGTTTTTAGACAACATTTTTCATTGTTTCTTGCACACATATTTTGAAAACTTAAAACGGATAGAAAACATTTTTGTAACTAAAAGTAAAAATAAAATATAAAAAACAAAATTTTTCTTAAACCAACTGGACCTTAAGGTTATCAATTCTAGACTTTTTATTGAACTTAGTTTTGTCTTTTTGTTGAACTTGTAGACTGGAGTTTTTGTAGATTCATGAAGTATGTTTGCAGAAGGATGTCAGTATGTGATCCACAACTGCTTTTAGTTGTAGGTAACAAAATCTTCTCTTCTGAACTTTGTAAACACATTCTCATCGTTATTACTCATAAATAACAGCAGCCCTCTCATTTGTTTTCAATTTTTTTAATTTGTGTTGCTAATTGATGTGGTACAGATTCCGTAAAAGCTCTTAAACAAATGGAGTAGATGAATTCTTGGTTGGACTCAATATTGTGACAGAAAATAGGATCCATGATACTATCAAGAAGTTCCAGTTTCATGAGGTTAAGTTACTCCAGTGTGCTACTGCTACAAGAGAAAAGGAGTGTTAGAAGTTATATTTCACATCGACATTCCAGAAAGATTGGCCATATATTTTATCCTATACAGCGGGGTAATAGCACTGGCTGAGGACATTCTGCTTAGCATTATCTCATGCCAAGGAAAGGAGCATTCAAAGTGTAATTCCCAGCCAAGGTCCAGCCGCATCGAGAAACCTACGAACTGGTGAAAGGGTCTGTACTCCTAGATCACAAGAATCCATCTTTAGATGTGGCACTTATCAAAAGGAGGACGTAATTTTGATTAGGAAATGTCTTCTATCTATTATCTATTATTTTGCTCACTCCTATAATAAAACTCTTCCCTTTTTAGATGTTCATCATTGCATTGTTTCTAATTTGTTACATGGCTATTGTTTTAGCTAGGCATTGTTTGATATGTCTTTTTGAGGAATGAAAGGAAAACATTGGAAGGACAAAGTTGGTCCTATGTTTGGTAGAACGTTAGCAAAATATAGGTTTTGCGGGGGTTAAACTGTCCTGTATTTTTCGTGGGCTATACGGTACTGTATTTTTATTTAGATTTTCATTCACTTATGTTCATTTCCATTCTTTTTATTTTGAGAAACCAACAAAGGAGAATCATCTTTTGTATCTTTTTTAATAATTAATCCATTTCTCCTTTCACTACCTTTCCTAGTATTCATTATTTTCTTTTCCCTCCATTCCAATTAAAGCCTAACCATCAAATTCAGGATGAAAGGAGAGCATTCTCTAAATTACCGGTTATGTGTATTTTAAGTATCATCTGCTTTTTATTTTTATTCACCTAAAAAGATCTGCTGTTGATCTCTTTAATTTCTTATTTGAAATACCTGACCCGAAGAAAAGGTACACGAATACAATGCCAATCAAAACTACTATCTCTAGATATCATATTTCTTGTGTTTTATCGGGTAATATTTTCCATGTAAGAAAGAAGTTTAAGAGCTACAATGATGGAATATTTTCTATACTATTCCTTTTATCACGTTGAAATCCTAAGCAAAATATAAAATAAAAACGAAATTACATCTCTTTACAATACATTAAAATACCAGTGTATAATGGATACTGATAAACACACAACAGGAGGAAGATATTCAACAATATCTTGGCAAGGCTCTAGCACGAGCAGGAGTGAGCAAGACATTACTGCTAAACATATTTGAAATCTGACCATTCATTTCTTCTAATTTCTCTACTTTTACTGCCTTACATTTCAATATCTCCAGGTTTACTTTCATGTGTTTTTTCTCTTGAGAGAAGCTGTCATTTTTACCTTCATTATACAGAGCTATTTGTGAACGGCTTTTTCGTGGACTCTCAGTTACAAAGTTACTTGTTGGAATTTTAGTTTGTTGAGAAATAAGTGCCTGCATTGCAACCATTGGAGGTATTCTGTGGTTCTTGGCAAGATCTTTACTAGCTCCAAAGCTGAGTTTACTGTAGTTAAGACATTTGCACAATCTTGATCTTTCCTCAAATGGGACATTTGGATGAGACTGCAAAACATTATTTGTTCCAAACATGAGAATCTTTTGTACTATGTTATTGTAATTGTTAAATATGGTGCCGTAAATGGTAATGCAGATTTCAGAAATGCAAGAAATCAAAAGGAATAGGAAAATAAGTTATTTATGCATCCGCTATTTTTTTTCTCGATTTCTTGTGATTCTTTAGGAGCATGATGCATATGAAAAGCAATGGAAAAAGGAAAGTGGAATTCTCACCTCAAGATAGATATCAATGGCTCTGTAGATCCCATCAAAGCAGTCCCTTGCAGAGTCAGGCAAACATTCTGCAACTCCAAGAAATTTCGAGATCTTGAGATTCTGATCAGGTGATATCTCTCTCAAATACTTGTCGATTAATCTACCAACCCTTTTCATTTTCTGTAAAGAAATTCCATCATAGCCATTGGTATCAACAAATTGTCTAACTAATCTTATCACCAAGTTAACATCATAATAGATCCCCATATCTTGCCCTGAGACCAAAAGATCATCCAGTGTTGCTTGTTCGAGCATCCCACCAATCAATTTCTCTAGCTCAGTTCTGCAACTTTTACGCAACCCGAATCTAGAAACAATCCTTAATACCCAAAAAAGTCCTCTGCAAGAGGAGTTTTTCTTACCGACAAATATGACTCCATAAGCAGCTGTTTCTGCAAGAGCAGCATACTCGCTGCTGTTTCTGTAATCGGCATTTCTGGTTTGAGTAGCTGTTTTCAGATATTGCAACAGAAATCTTGTAAAGATTAAACTGTCGTTATCATCTTTGTATGATTCGATGCACTGAAAAAGTTTCTCAATTATCTTTGGTGGTAATGTTTCCAAATCTTCAAACCACCATGCTCTGCTTGTCAAACTCAACCTGGCTTTTTCTGATGTAGTTTGTGTTGAAGAAGAGAATCTCTTGGCATAATTGCTTTCCGGTGAAGACGGTGTTGACGACGATGACAGTGACGACGACGATAAAGATGTGAAGGAAATATTGAGGTTTGCATCTGAATTTTGAACAATCTTTGTCAACACTGCACTAATGATCTTCTCCAAGAGACCATAGCAATCTGCATATTCATAAAACATTCGGCAACTCATTAGACTTAAAACTATGTCATTCCATTTCCAGTAATGAATTCCCTCAAGAAAAGTCTGTGTTTGTTGCAAAAGATTGTTGCTGAAAACTTCCTCAGTCATTCCAAGATAAATAGCACCACAATGAAGAAGAGACACATTAGCTACATCAATTGGTATTTCGCCATTGTTGTAACAAAACCTTGAAACTAGCTCAAACCCTTCTGAACCTCCAGGGAAATCATTGATCCTGATTCCCATCTCTTTCACATGACATCTTCTCTTCTGATGATTCAAGATTTTCCTCACCTTTCCACAGTATTTTGATATAATCTTCTGCAAAATAAACGAACAAACTAGAATCATTTATCGTGATTCAAGGAAGAATCATTGAAGAAGACTAACAATACATACCTCTTTCAAAAGAAATATCTGTTGACCATTAACTTTGATCTGCAAATCACAAGGCTTTGTCATAGAAACAGATTCTGTTTAGTGCTTTCAGATGAAGAGATATCCTATTATCATACTCTATAGCCAGGTTATATGTTAATATCACAACCTAGATAGGAAGCTACTCATGATTTGAAATTGAATGGTTTCTCATTTTTTATTCTTAAATCTAATAATGATAATATGTTATGTCATTGAATATGTTTTTCTGCCTGTGAGTCTACAGTGTTAATTATGATAAAAATTTTGGCAATTTTATGACAGATCCCATGTATGTGTCCAAAACAAGACAGGTTTTGAGATTATTGTAAACGTGGAGTCACAGGAGCAAAAACACTAGATATATGTATTTGGGGTAAATTGTCCTATTGTCTTTTTAACCAACAAGTTGTTGTTGTTCTATCTGAGGGTATATTATAAATTATGAAGTAATAAATCATAATAATGTTGTGTGTTTTGTCATTATACATGTATTTGTTGGTGGGACGAATAGCAGAACCTTTTGTGTGGTTTTATGTAGGAAACAGTAGTGTCTGTGAGAAAGGAAGTGGAAACCCAAAGCATATTTGTTAATATTTTAGATCTCTGTCACATAATGGAGTCTTGTTTTGAATGAGTGATTCAATTTTAGGTACACGTGAAGGTAGATTCTACAGCACTTCTTTAACATATAGGAGTAAATGTTTTTTTTTTTTTTCATTTATTAATGAAATGACATTGACATGATACGATGATTCTTCGACTTAGGATTTTTTTTCTATTTTTGTAAAGAAATGAATGATGATGAGAAACAACATGAACAATAACATATAAATTATAAAGGAGTGAATACCAAGTATGTGAAATACAAGAATGAAACATTAAGAATAATAGAGATGAAATAAGGGATAATACAAATAAGTGAATTATTTATATTAAAAGTTAAGTATGTTTTTGGTGATTCTAGATATTTCATATTTTATTTAATTTTTTTTTAAAATGTCATTAAAAAAATGATTTTTCTAAAACTTTTCATTTACATTTTTGTTCCATCTGTTAAAATTGTCGCTAAGTAGTAAATTGTCGTTAAAATCATTGTTAATTTTGTTACTAAATCATAAAGATCATCCATAAATTATGGGAAAGACCAAAAGTGTGGATGTAAGATTTAGGAGGATCATTCTTAAATTTTTTTTTTGAGAAATTAAAAAATAAAATATGAGATATTTAAAAGGATCACTAACATATTTAACTCTTGTATTAATGAAAAATGGACTGAGCTATGAAGATAGCAAAAATATAAAGAATATTCCAGAAATAGATATCCACTGAGAAATATTTCCTATCTACTTTTATTCCAAAAATGTCACAATTATCGTCCTTCTATTTCGTACCTAATGATATCATTTCTAACAAAATCACATGAGGTTTGTTGCCACATCAACAACCATCTTCTCTCTTCAATTATTTTTATTGAATAAACCTTCCACACAACAGAGTAGATCTCTTTAATTGAGATGCAAAAACTATCGTGAATTATTGTAGTTGCAGGCAGTTCAGTTTTATCTTGTACAATATAATCATTATTTTCTTCAAAATTGGGCAAGGTCCAAGGTATCTAGGAGCTAGTTTTGATTAATTCTTCGACCAATGTATGTTGTTGATGAGGTCTTAATTCTAGAAACACTCACTATCCCCTTTAAAACACATTTTGTTAATTCTTATCGGCATACTTCTTTGTATGTTGCGATGCCCTCAACAAATGATACTTTAATTTCCTTAAGCCTCATATTTATGCACTAATTCAACTGCCATTGCGTCCCCTCTGGCATGTCCCCACGAGAATAAAATCAAAGGAGGAGGTTTTCTTATATAAACAACCTCAAACGGTGTTGCTCCAGTGGAAATATGGTCGGTAGAGTTATACTACAATTCCGCTTAAGAAACCCAATAACTCAAATTCTTGATTTGCTTTGCAATAAAGCATCATGAATAAGCCTCAAGATGTTGGTTAACTACCTCTGTTTGGCTATCTGTCTCAGGGTGATACGAAGAACTCATCTTCAAGACTGTTTCTTGCAATCGAAATAACTCCTTCCAAAAGAGACTAATAAATAAAGGGTTTCAATCAATGACAATGGATTGCAGTACTCCGTTCAATCTAATTATCTCTTTTGTAAACACCATTGCCACCTTTCTTGTTGTATAGAGGTGCTTCAAGGGAATAAAATGACCATACTTCGATAGCCTATCCACAACCACAAAAATTTCCTCACACCCTTTAGACTTTGAACGTCCGGTAATGAAATCAAGCGAGATATCTTCCCAAACCTATTATGGAATAGGTAGTGAGTGAAGCAGACCTGCAGGTGACATATGATCCAACAGACTAAAAATAAGGCTCATCTCAAAAAGCCGTAATCTAGAGCAACTTAGCTATTCATTGATAAGATAACATATACCATGAGTAGAGAAGTATTCATTATCAAAATCTATGGAAGAATTGCTCTTCAATGAATCGAATGTGCTAAAAAATCACTCCTTGAATGACCCTAACCATCACTTTCTATCTTTGATTCTGAACCCCTGAAAAAGTGGTCAAAAGATACTTTAAATAGCAAAAAGTGTGTCAGTTGGAAAAGCACAATCGCATTAGCGACATCCAGTATCACGCCGCGATACAAGCCTTATCGCGCCACAATGGGATGCATCACGGGTGCAAGAGTTCCAGTGGCGAAACACACGTTTTTCTCCTCTATTTTTTTTTACAATTTTCACTTAGTCTTTGTATATTCCTTGTATTGACTTTTTGCTTAATTCTTCACACTTTAGCATGGGTTTTGATCATTCTTCTTCCCAATTTACCTGAATTTCTTCCTAAAAATCACGTAATAAGGAATGTCATTGCAACCCTAAAATTCAACTGTTGCTTGTCCTCAATTAACCTTTCTGCATACTGAACATTTCATTAGAATTAAAATGCTTACCCTTACTAATTATTGTCACATGTAATTTTTTCTAATCACCACTTCAGTTCTCTGCTTCAATTCAATCAACTCATAAAAAATTTTCCTACATACAAATACTCAACCTATCTCTCATCTCATCATGATGCACTCAAATTGACAGGGTAATCACTCAACCAACATACAAAAGTATTTAACCATGATTTGAAAATTTTCTAATCAGATCAATCAAAGTCATATTTAAAAACACACTTTTGAGGTCTTTTTTTGGCTGTAACATGACTTATGTTAGGGTAAGATAGTTTAGGATATTAGGTTTAAACCTTCGTATTTAGGTACCTAATTTTCCCGATATTATCGATTTCATTCCAACTCACTTTTTTATACTTCACTTGGAACTAAAGGATTGCATATTGTTGGTATTATTTTTCAAAAACTTTTTTTTGAAGAAACTATTTTAACTTCTTATTTTTCTTTCATTTTCTCTTTCTTTTTGACCAATTTCGCTAGTACTCCAACCCAAACTTATTCGTGGCTAACTTCCAAGGACAACGCCAAACTTATTCTTTTGCAATAAACTAAGAAACTACAAATTTCTACCTAACTCCAAAAGGATGAAAAGATTTAATCTTTCAAGTTAGGGGCTATATAATATGGCTATGTCACCGAAAGAATGATTTTAGACTCAAAGGGGTTAAACAACGAATGTTACATATTAGAATATGGTGGTTTAAAAAGGCTCAGAGTTTTCACAAACAATTGCCTCAGTGTGTATTTATCAGACCAATAAATTCAAAATCAGAAAAAGTGCAAATCTAAAAAATGACTAATGCATGGATACTCTCACAAGAAGGAAAAATAAATAATAGATATTATTTGTCTTGAATCTTACTATATGAGGTATTTAGAAATTGAGTACAAGTAGTCGGTTTCTTTATTCTTTATCAACCTTCAATCTATAAGGGAGTTTCATTGTTGATCTTTTTAATTCTTTTCTTTCTCTGATGACTTCTTTTTTCTTTTCATGATGACATTGGTAAGATAGCAAATTAAAAACTGAAAGAAAAAAAAGAAAGAAAACATCTTTATTCTTTATTTTCACTATTGCTATTGTTTTGAGTATATAGTAACACGCACTTCCAAAATATATGACATATATTATACACTTATATAATTTTATACAAAATTATAGTAATAATTATTTCAATTTTATTTAAAAGAAATGGAGATGATCCCTACCCTATATCTCCTTAATTCTAATGAATTATTCCAACATTTTGTTATCAATTTTATATTTTCTTATCTATCTTGCATTGTCAAATACGTTAAGAGATCTCCAAGCAGAATAAAATAGAGTAGATACATGCATGCGTTATCTGAAAGAGTAAAATTTTAGGCAAAATAACCCTTTTGGTCCCTTAACATTAGCTCGGGGTCCACTTTGGTCCCTTATCTTTAAAAAGTGTCAAATTGGTCATTTAACTTTTAAAAATGTGTCACGTTTATCCTTCCGTTAGTTGCTGTTAGTTTGATTTTGAAAAAATTGCCATGTGGAGTGCTGAGGTGGAATGGAGTGTTGAGGTGGAAGTCAGGTGGAAGTGAAGAGGGAAACGAAGAAGAGGAAAAGGCAAAACGAAAAAGAAAAGGAAAACGAAAACGAAGAAGAAGAAAAGACAAGAAGAAAAAAAAGAAGAAAACGAAGAACGATTGAAGAAAAACGAAGAAGCAGAAAACGAAGAACGATTGAAGAAGAACGAAGAACGAAGAAGAAAACGAAAACGATTGAAGAGAAGCAGACGATTCAAGAGCCAATCTCGAAAGGTTAGTTCATCTCTCTGATTTAGGGTTTTTGGGTGAGGTTCAGACAGATTTAAGGTTTATATAAATTTGTTAGTTTAAACGTTAATTACTTACATGGTATGCCCAGGTATCATGGAAGAATACATTACTCTGAAAATTCATCATAGTGGTGAGTTCAAAAACGAAGGTCGTAGTGTATATGAGAATGGAGTAGTAGATGATTTGAGGGTAGATGTCGACAGATGAAGTTATTTTGAGCTAGTTGGTGTATTGAAAGAC